TTATGGTGTGAGGCATGGGTCCTGTTTCATTTTTCTGCGTATGTGGGAACCCAGTTTTCCTAGTACCATTTATTGAAGAGATTTTTCTTTCCCACACCCTTGTTAAAAGTCAGTTGACTATAGATGTATAGGTTTATTTTTAGACTCTAATTCTATTCCGTTGGTCTGTGTGTCTGTTGTTACACTAGTACTAGGCTGTTTTTAATACTGTAGTTGTGCACTATGTTTTAAAACCAGGAAATGTGAGTCCTACTTTGTTATCTCTTTCAACATTGTTTTAGCTATTCAGGGCCTCTAGCCATTTTATATAAAGTTTGGTACTGGTTTTCTATTTGTGTAAATAAGGCTGTTGGAATTCTGATTGGGATCACATGGAATCTGTAGATAATATTAGGGAATATTGACATCTTAACAATATTAATTCTTCCAATCCATAAGCATAGAACATCTTTCAATTTAAGTCTTCTTTAATCTCTTTCAGCAGTCTTTTATAATTTTCATTGTAAAAGTCCTTCACATTCCTGGTTAGATTTATTCCTGGGTATTTTATTCTCTTAAATGCTGTTGTAGGAGCTCTGGTGGCGTAGCGCCTGAGGCATTTGACTGCTAACTAGAAGGCTGATGGTTCAAGCCCACCAGCCACTCCTCAGAAGGAAGATTGGGCAATCTACTTCCCTAGTGATACTGCCTTGGAAACCCAAGTCGGATCCGACTTGATGACAGTGAGTTTGGTTTAGGTGCTCTTGTAAGTGGAATTTTTTTCCTAATTTTTCTTTCACATTTCTCATTGTTGGTATATAGAAATTCAACTGAGTTTTTTTGTTGCTTAAGATCTTTTTGATGGTGGTCTTTAACCCAGTGAAGTGTAAGTTCAGGTTCGTACCCTAGAGTCATGTATGGACTATACCAGTTCCTCCCTGGGTATATTGCTGTAAATAACCCCCTTACATAAGCTGTTTTCCTGCTTCTATACTTGTCGTGATTGAGTTATGTCCCCCAAAATAAGTGTTAACTTGGCTAGGCCATGAATCCCAGTATTGTGTGGTTGTCCTCCATTTTGTTATGTCATGTAGTTATTCTTTATTTTGTGATATGTTGTAAATCCTAACTTGTATATTAATGAGGCAGGATTAATGTGGGGTGTATCTTGAGTCACCACCCTTACTCAAGTCACACCCTTGCTTGAGTCAAACTTTTTATCTTACAAGGGATAAAAGGAGAGAGAAGCCAGCAGAGAAGAGCGGGGCCTAACTACCACCAATAAAGAAGAGCTGGGAGTGAAGCACATCCTTTGAACCCAGGGTCCCTGGACTGAGTACCTCCCCACCCAGGGGAGGATTGACACCAAGACACATGGAGATCTCCAAGGAACACCAGGGCCACAGATGTTGAGAGAAGACAAGAGCTGACGGAGAAAGCTTTCCCCTAGAACTGCTGTTATGTGCCGTCGAGTTGGACCTGACTCATAGCGACCCCTCCTTGGGTTTCCGAGGCAGTATCATAATGGAAGTAGATTGCCCCATCTTCCTTCTGAGGAGTG